CGTTATAATCTTAACGGAACCACCACCATACATGGGGTGGTAAACGAGAAGATTCTGTAAGATACGTTCCTGGCACGGTAGTAGGCCCGTAGTATTAACTAGATGGCAGCTGTGTTTGTTACAAATTTATTAATACATTTCACAGTGAAAATTCCTCAGGAGAGTGGGATGGGCCCTTCTCTGGGGTCTGGGAGAAGGCAGAAGGAATAGTGGGGTAGGTGTGGGCCACAGCAGAGAAGATTCTACTAAGGCAAGAGATTGACAGGGGCCAGTGCTAGGGGAGGGGCGGGCTGGTGGTGGTGGGTGGGTATTGAGCTGCCTATGTGATAGCACATCGGCATCCCACCTCCCCACAGGCAGCTGCTCTCCTACATCACCAAGGACAAGCAGACCGAGAGCCTGGTGGAGAAGCTGTGTCAGCGGTTCCGCACGGCCCGGTATGCCGCCTTCCTGAGGGGCCCTGTGGGAGAAAGCATCCTGGGGCTGAGGCGGGAGGGTGCGCCTTTCCTTCCTCTGTCTCGATGCTCCTCACAAGGCCTTTCCGTCTGCAGAACTGATCGGCAGTACCGGGACCTGGCCTACTGCGTGTCACAGCTGCCCCTCACAGAGCGAGGCCTCCGCAAGATGCTGGACAATTTTGAATGCTTCGGAGATAAACTGTCAGATGAGTCCGTCTTCAGTGCTTTTTTGTCAGTTGTGGGCAAGCTGCGGCGAGGAGCCAAGCCTGAGGGCAAGGTGAGCCGCTCCGCTGCGTTCCAGCACTAGTTCGTGCAGCCTGGCGTTCTGAGCTCTTCCCCCACAGCACTGCCTTCCTCATCCCGGCGTGACTGCAGCCCAGCAACCAGGGAGACCTGAGACCAGATCTTTCTGTTTCTTTCTTTTTTTCCTAATAGGCTTTTTCTTTAGAGCAGTTTTAAGTTCATTGCATACTTGAGTAGAAAGCACAGAGTCTTCCCATATGCCCTCTGCCCCCACACATGCACACAGCCTCCCCCATCATAACATCCCCAGCAGAGTGACACATTTGTTACGATTGATGAACTTCCATGGACACATCACTGTCCTCCAAAGTCCATAGTTTACATTAGGTTCACTATTGCTGCTTGTACGTCTATAGTTTGGGACAAATGTATAATGGCCTGTGTCTACCATTACAGTATCATCCAGAATAGTTTCACTGCCCTAAAAACGCGCTGCTCCCCATGTACCCCTTTCTCCCGCCCGCCCCTCCCCCCCAACTCCCAGCAGCAACCACTGACCTTTTTACGTTTCCAGTTTTAAGCTTGCACCATGTCTTCGTGGCCTTGTTTCTTTTTAATCATAGAAATAACTATTTCCAAGCCTGATCGCAATCTCTCTTTCCCTCCAGGCTGTAATAGATGAGTTTGAGCAGAAGCTTCGGGCCTGTCACACACGAGGGTTGGATGCGATAGAGGAACTCGAGATTGGCCAAGGCGATAGCCTGAAAACCCCAGCAGCCAAGAAACAGTCTGGTATGTGAGGCGGCCCTGTGGGTGGAGGAACCGGCCCAGCCCTCCTCTCAGATAGAGGTTCTTTCTTTTTTTTCCTTTTACACATGCTTCTGCGTTTTCTAGTCTCTAGGCACCAGCATCTGGCTTCTGCAGCCTCAGACAACGACTTTGTCACACCGGAGCCCCGCCGCACTGCCCGGCGGCAGCCAAACACCCAGCAGCGAACTAGGAAGAAGAAACCCCAAATCGTCTTCTCGAGTGATGAGTCCAGCGAGGAAGGTATGGCAGGCCTAGGAGGGACACAGACAGCCCTGGGGGTGGGAACTGGTTTCCATGGGGGTCCCGCTGTGTAGATTCTCCACTCACTACCCCCACCCCAGCGTCTGAAATCCCTGTACAGTTTGGGCTTTATTCTGTAGCGAGTGTGGCTGGGCCTGTCCCATTTGTTCCCTGAGATCTATTGCTCACCATTTTGTGACTCAGCTTTTTCTCGTTCCTCCAATTGGAACAGAGCTTTCAGCAGAGATGACGGAGGATGAGACACCGAAGAAAACTACCCCCATCCGCCGAGCATCTACTCGAAAGCACAGGTGCTAGAGATCGGCTTGCCTGTTCCCGTCCCTGCTGTGTAGGGTCTCTTGTGGGGTGACCTTGAATTCCGTTCCTCTTGTAAAATACTTGATTGCCTGTCTCTTTGGACTTTTAATGTGTAAGTCGTTTTTATAATGGAAGGCGTTTCTCTTAAGCCAGCCTAACTGAAGTGAGTCGAGCTGCTTTCACTAGACTATGTTTGTCAGTCTCCTTGTTTTGTAATGAATAAATGTTTTTATAATTTTAGACATTTTTCCTAAGCATGTCTTTGTTTCATCTTTCACATTAGCCCAGATGCAGGCAGCAGGTGGTGTTACAGATCCAGAAAGAGAAATGAGCCCAGGGGTACTGGGGCCCATCTCAAGGACTAATAACTCATGCTCCTCAGTGCCTCGTCTTTCCCTTCTCAACCTCCCTACCCTGCACAAGTGACAGCATTGCTCCACTGTGGAGAACGCGCAGGGTCCAGCCTCCAGCTCTGTGCTTCTTAACCTGAGGGTGATATTTTGCCCTCGAGCAGGCATCTGGCAATGTGTGGAGACCTTTTTTTTGTTATCTCCACCTAGAGGGGAGGGGTGCTATCAGCATCTAGTAGGCAGAGGCCAGGGGTGATGCTAAATGCCCTAGATGTTCAGGACAGATGTCACAACAAAGAATTGTTTGCTCCCAAATGTCAATCAATAGTGCTGAGCTTGAAAATCCCTATTAAGGCCAAAGGTGGCTTCCTGTATCCTGGCCCCACCCCCACTTGTGCTCACTAGTCCTGTCTAAAGACAAATGCCTGGCCTGGCTGAGGGAAGGTCAGGTCACGATCCCCTCCAGCTCTATTTCTTTTTTCTTTTTTTAAATATATATTTTATTGATTTTTGTACAGAGAGGAAGGGAGAGAGAGAGAGATCAGAAACATCAATGAGAAAGAGTCATCGATCAGCTGCCTCCTGCACACCCCCCACTGGGGATATGCCCGCAACCAAGGTACATGCCCTTGACCGGAATCGAACCCGTGGCCCCTCAGTCCCCAAGCCGACACTCTATCCATTGAGCCAAACTGGTCCCGGTCCCCTCCAGCTCTAGACAATCTCTCTTAACATTGTCTGTGGACCTAGGACTCCTCCTCCCCATGTTACCCGGTCTGCAGGAAGTCAGCCCCTAAGGGGCAGGTGCTGCTAGTGTAGCCACCTGAAGCCTGTCATCCCTTCCGCCTCCCAGTTCTCCGCTGAGTCACCTGGAAATGGAGGCTGAGCTAGCTGTCATGAGGACATGGGTGTCTTTGCTGTCATGACAACAGACTGCGCCAGTGGGCACTGAGCTCCCTTTGTTTTTAACGGGACAGTAATAAAAAATGGAGGCAGAGGAAGCCAGTATCTCCGGCACATGGTTGGGTAGAGCAGGAGCATGGAGGGCCTCAAGTCCCTGTCCTGATGGTTTGACAGTCCCGGCAGAGCAGTAGCAGCTGCATCTCCACGACCACAGCCCACTCTGCAATGTGGGGCTTCCCACCTTCTCTCAACATTAGGTGCCCTCTGGCCCTGATCTGCTGTTCAGGAAAAGCCCGGGCACCACCCATGGTGATGGCTGCCTGGACACAGCCTTGGCTTGCCTGGAGGGCAGGCAATCCCAGAAAGGGAAAGGCTTGGGGCTGGAGTCGGGGTCCTTACGGCCTGCTCTCTGCCTTTTAAGCAAAGGTTATCACCAGCTAAACTTAGCTCCAGGCTTTTAGTTGGAAAAGGGGGCTGGTGTCAGGTTATGCTGGGCCAGCAAAGAGGCAATGTCCATTTTACCCCACCCCCTTCTCAACCCTCCTCCCTCTCAAGTGCTCAGAACCAGCCCTCCAAAGTCAGCCCAAACCTGGCTCAGCTGGGCTACTGACCCACTCGGCTCCCTTCCCCTACCTATTCCCTCCAGGTGCCCAGGCCCTCTCGATCTTTTCCCCTCTTCCAGACTCCTCGCCCTGCCCCCAACATCTCCCGGGCACAGCCAGTGAAGGAGAGCCCCTGGCTCCGGGCTGGTCAGCACGTCCCAGGATGGGGTGGGACTTCCGCCCTCACGTCCGGCTCTCTGCCCTGGGCTGGAGTGGGTGAAAGGGGCATTGTCTCCTGGGCGGCACAGCCCTTGAGTTTCCCAGGAGCGACTTTGTGGGTGGCCCCTAACAGCGATCCATCCGCCCTCGGCCCGGACCAGGCCAGGGGGAGAGCCGCCGGTGCATTGCCTACAGGGTCCGGTGTGTCTGCCCCAATTACTAGGTCTCCCGGCTGCCCGAGCTGCAGGACAGCGTGACCTTCAGCGCAGATGCCTCCCCCTCAGCCTCCTTCCCTTCCGGCCCCGCAGCTCAGTGCCTAGCCAGGCCCCCGGCCCAGAGCGGCCCGGAGCCAGGGGACGGGGAGGAAGGGGAGGAATAGGAAGGGGTGCTGGAAGAGGGCCCCGCGGCGGGCGCAGTGGCCCCTCCCGGCCTGTCCCTCGGCTGTTCCTGTGTCACTACCGAAGACCCTCGAGAAGCTCCTCAGCCTTCCCGCTCCCGCCTGTGAATGAAAGAAAGGGGACGGGGTGGCCTCGTGCAGCCAGCAGCCGCCCCGGGCTCCAACCCCAAGTCCCCATCCCACCTGCTCCCCGTCCTGCCGTCCCAACCGCCCGGCACCATAAGCGCCCTGGCTCCTGCGTGGACTCGGGTCTGGCCAGGGCCCCCGTCCCCGAGGCCACTGTCTCGGCATGCCCACGGGCACGTCCTCGGTACCAGCACCAGCACCTCCGCGCTGGGGCCACCCTCGGTCCCCTCCCCCTCCGCCCCCGGCCCACATGCTCGAGGCGTGCACACGCGAAGAGCCAGTCGGGTCCAAAAGAAAAGAGAGGGGCGCGGCTACTCGAGGTTTTACGGGCGCACGTAGCTCAGGCCTCGGCGCCCTTGGGCTGGGACGGGGCGGGCGGCGACTCGCGTCACCCCCGCCCCCGCCGCGCCTGCTTCCTATAAATTGCGGCTGCAGCCTCCCCCCTGGCGCTCTCTGCTCCTCCTGTTCGTCAGACAGCCTTTCCTCCCGTGCCGTGCCAGGTAGAGGAAAGCAGGGGGCGCCCCCGGGAGCTGGGGGCATTCCAAAGGGGCTGCACGAGGGCCGGGGTGCAGGGGTGCAGCGGCGGTGGGGTGCGGGGGGGGGGGGTAGGCGGGGGCGCCACAGTGCGATGGCGGAGGGGGACGTGCGGAGCCGCAGGGAGAGGATGGTGGCTGGGGGAGGGGGAGGGGGAGAGGGAGACGGGAGGAGGGAACCGCTCCGGCCCGCGCCCTGATGCTCACCCTCCTTCCAGCAGCCACAACCCTGAGACACGATGGTGAAGGTCGGAGTGAACGGGTGAGTTTAGGGGTCAGCAGGTCTCGCCCTGCCTGAGCCTCTTCTGCAAGCGCTGAGGGGGTGGGGGTGGGGGGGTTCGGGGCTTCCCACCTCCACTCCCAAGGAGAACTCAAGGTCAGAGCTCGGACCGCAGAGGGCCTCTGCCCCCCACTTGCATTTGTTGCACCTCCGCCCTTGGCGGGGACAAGCCCGCCCGGAACCTTCGCCCCGGAGGAGCAGGAGAGCCCTCCATGCTAGGCTTTGGACCATTCCCCTTTCTCTTCTTTCGCGCCCTGCGGGGTCACGTGCCAGGGGGAAGCCCCCTCCCCCCTCCCCGGCCCCACCTGGCCGCCCCGCGGGGGTGCAGCTGGGCGGGCTCCTCTGCGGTAGCCTCGCCGCCATGTTGCAAGCGGGAAGGAAATGAATGAATCGCCGTTAGGAAACCTCCCCTACCTCCATCCAGCCTGCCTCCTCCCCTGGCTATGACTAACCCTCCTGCCGCGGTGGGGTGGAGTCGCCTTGATCCGGTAAACCTGATGAGGCAAGGCTTCCGAGGAGCTGGACCTCGGACCCCATTCACCCTAAGCCATCCTGAGCCTGTCCGCAGATACCCCCGGAGAGGATGCTTTGCCCGGCTGATGCTCTAACGAGTCAGAAATGGGGCCCTTTTGTGTCCCTTTTCCCCCTCTTTCGGGGGAGGTGTGGTAGCTGTGGCGCAGAGCCATGCAAGGGCAGCTGAGTCATGGTAGCTAGAAATTTTCCACCATAAGATGGCTCCTTGCAGCGGCGGCAGCCCCTCTCCACCCCAGCTGCCCTCCAAACTCCTTCCACCCGTGCCTGGAGCTCACTCGGCCCTCAGGACCAGGCTGTAAAGGTCACCGGGAGGATTGGGTGTCTGAGAGCCTCGGGAACCATGCCCTTCTCCCCACTCCAGCTTCCGGAAACCAGATCCCGGCTACCCCAATCGGGGGTTAAATATAGCACCTGACCTTTCTGCTCAGGGGGCCTGGCCGCTGCTATCCCACCGCCTGCCCCTGCCCCGAGCATACACATCTGTTGCTCCTGCTGCCTGATTTCTGCTGGAGCGGGGGAAGGATAGGTAGCTTAGCAACTAGAACCTGGTTCTTAGGAATTGGAAACAGCTCATCCCTTTTGTAGGAGGAGCTCAGAGAAGAGATGGGGTTCCTCCCCCTTCCCCCAATCCAGTTAACGTCAGACCTTTACTCTTGCCCTTTGAGCTTGGTGATGCTGAGTGTACAGGCCTTTGCTCCATAGGGGTGTGGCCTGAAGCTGGACACAAGATAGGAGGGATGCCATGTGCCAGACTGCGGCTGGCAGTGGGAGTGGCCTGCACTGTCCCTTGCAACATTTCATGGGGGGGGGGGAGTAGTCAGTGGGGGGAGACATCTGTAATACTTTAAACAATAAAGAGAAATAGAAATTAAAGATTCTCTGAACATTCTAAAACAATTATTAAAGAGGACTGGGGGTTGGGCTAGTTTTGGGGCCTAATCACCTCTTGGACAAGACAGAAGCCTTTCCAGGGTGGCCATGCTGTTGAGTCAGGGTGGCTGGAGGAAGACACATTAGACCTTTGGGGGCTTTCTGGTGGCAGGAAAGGACTCCCTGTCTTCCTTCTGAAATAAGGTAGGCGGGCCACGGGCTACTACTTACACACAGAATTCTCAACTCCCTCCTCATGCCTTCTCACCTCTTCTGTCCCTCAGATTCGGCCGCATTGGGCGCCTGGTCACCAGGGCTGCGATGGAATCTGGCAAAGTGCAAGTTGTCGCCATCAACGACCCCTTCATTGACCTCAACTACATGGTGAGTGTTGTCTGTGCGGCTGGTGTGGGAAGCAGAGGCTGATGGCCGTGCAGCCCCCTGACGCCTTGGCCTGTCCCTCCAGGTCTACATGTTCCAGTACGATTCTACTCATGGCAAGTTCAAAGGCACCGTCAAGGCCGAGAACGGGAAGCTTGTCATCAACGGGAAGCCCATCACCGTCTTCCAGGAGTGAGTGTGGAAGGACGGGAATAAGTTTGTTTTGGGGGAGGTGCTAGGATGGGGTGACCACCTTGGGCCCATGGTGCTCCTGTCCCTGAACTCTGTCCTGTCTGCCCTTGTAGGCGAGATCCCGCCAACATCAAATGGGGTGATGCTGGCGCTGAGTATGTTGTGGAGTCCACCGGAGTCTTCACTACCATGGAGAAGGCTGGGGTGAGTGGCAGGGGGGCTGCAGGAGGAGTTGATAACAGTAAGAAGATGGGGGTTGGGAAGAAGCTGCCTTAGAGAAAGGCCAAGCTCGAGGTCTGTAACGCCTCTTCTGCTGCAGGCTCATTTGAAGGGCGGAGCCAAGAGGGTCATCATCTCGGCCCCTTCTGCGGATGCCCCCATGTTTGTGATGGGTGTGAACCATGAGAAGTATGACAACTCCCTCAAGATCGTCAGGTGAGCGTGGCAGAAGGGAGTGGAGAGGTGGCTGGATGGTGCAGCGGTCAGAGGAAGGTCACAGAGGAAGGTCACGTTGCCCCTGACTTACTCACCTGCCTCTTTTCAGCAATGCCTCCTGCACCACCAACTGCTTGGCCCCCCTGGCCAAGGTCATCCATGACAACTTCGGCATTGTGGAGGGACTCATGGTAAGAGTGATGGGGGAAGGGACTCAGCATATTCTATCCTCACCCAGGATTGGTTCCTTCTTCTCCTACAACATAGCCTGGGCGGGGGGCTGTGGAGAATCGGGGTCCTGAGCATTAGCTGGGGTCATTGTACCCCTTTATTTCTCCTAAAGTTGAGGAGGGAGGCTGAAGAGTGGGTGGTGAGCACCTTGCAGGGCCCTCACTCTGTCCTCCATGTTTCCAGACCACAGTCCACGCCATCACCGCCACCCAGAAGACCGTGGATGGCCCCTCTGGGAAGCTGTGGCGTGATGGCCGAGGGGCTGCCCAGAACATCATCCCTGCTTCCACTGGCGCTGCCAAGGCCGTGGGCAAGGTCATCCCTGAGCTGAATGGGTGAGGCTCTTCGCTGCTTTTCTGGACTGGGAGTCTGGGGGAACCAGGAGCTGGTACTGACCCCACTTCCCTGTGTCCACAGGAAGCTCACTGGCATGGCCTTCCGTGTCCCCACTCCCAACGTGTCGGTTGTGGATCTGACCTGCCGCCTGGAGAAAGCTGTAAGTGTGGGTTGGGAGCGGCGTTGGGCTGGTGTCCATTAGAACGGTGGCCGCATTGGAACCTGAATAACTATATCGTTTTTTTTAACCTTGTTAGGCCAAATACGATGATATCAAGAAGGTGGTGAAGCAGGCAGCAGAGGGCCCCCTCAAGGGCATCCTGGGCTACACTGAGGACCAGGTACTGAGAGGGCAAGGAGCTTGGTGTCCACAGCCCTGCTGACCGAGACTGGGTTCCCATGCTTGGCCTTCTTTCCTCAGGTTGTCTCCTGCGACTTTAACAGTGACACCCACTCCTCCACCTTTGATGCTGGGGCTGGCATTGCCCTCAATGACCACTTTGTCAAGCTCGTTTCCTGGTACGTAGGTGCCTGGGGTTGGGACAGTGCTTGAAAAACTGACCGTGGGTCTAGCGCCCTCTAGTGGCTGGCTCAGAAAAATAACACCTCATCCTCATCCCTTCCAGGTATGACAATGAATTTGGCTACAGCAACAGGGTGGTGGACCTCATGGTCTACATGGCCACCAAGGAGTAAGAGCCCTCTGGACCACCAGCCCCAGCGAGAGGAAGAGAGGCCCTCCGCTGCTGGGGAGTCCTTGCCCGGATCAGTCCCCCGACACACTGAGAACCTCCTGACCACCGTTTCCATCCCAGACCCCCTGAAGAAGGGGAGGGGCGAAGGAAGCCCTACTTTGTCGTGCACCATCAATAAAGTTCACTGTACCCAGCCAACTCTCTGCATATTTATCTTATTTCGGGGTCTGGGACAAAGGGGAAAGAAACTGGGCCGGTTCTAAGGTGAAATAGCTCTTGTTGAGAGTAGCAAAGGGCCTTGCTCACCCCATCCAGGCCAAGCCTCAGTGTACTGATAAGCGTCCCTTACCAAGTGTGTGCCCAGGTGACAGTGGTGAAAGACACCTGTTCTCTCTGGCTGTTTCCCCTCCAAGGCCCTGGGTGCTGTGCCCAGCACCACCACTGCAGAGGACCAGACCTTCTCCTTCGCCACACTCCAGCCCCCCGTCAAGGCTGTGTAAGTTAGGACCTCCCCTGATACGCAGTAAGGACCCCTGACTAAATCTAGGAAGTGAGGGGAAGGATGGGTGAGGCACAGTGCCCGCCATGTGAAGCTTACTTAGGGCAAGTTACTTAGAACTTAATAGCCATCGGGTGCCTCTGCACCTGTTGAAGAGATGGAACTAGCATAGGGGTCGGCAAACCGCGGCTCAAGCCACATCCGGCTCTTTGGCCCCTTGAGTGTGGCTATTCCACACAATACCACGCGCGGGCGCGCAGGTACAGTGCTGATTGAAAACGGTTTTCGGCCTGGCAAGTCTATTTTGAAGTGGCGTTAGAAGTTTAAAAGATTTGGCTCTCAAAAATTTCAATCTGTTGATATTTGGCTCTGTTGACTGGAGCCTACCGACCACGGAACTAGCACATACCTCGCAGGACTGTGTAGCTACCGCCGGAAAGGGATTCAAAAATCAGTGACGTGAGGCATTCAATAAATACTCTCCAGTTTCATTCTCAATAAAGATTCCATTCACATGTCAGCTCACAGCTCCCCCAGCAGTTATGCTAAGGTCTCGGTCCCGTCTCCCCAATTTCTCCAAGGTTTTCCCAGTTCAGACATCTCTGCCTGTTGGTCTGTGTGGCAGACACGAAGGAGGCACTTCTGCTGATCCTTGACATTGAGGCCCTGAGCACACGCACACACCTGTGTACGCACACGTATCGCTTCCCCTTGTCACTCAGTCCTTGGGAGACAGGAGCTTCCCACCTTCTCGATATTGCACCCAGTCAGACCCAGAAGGGGCTCGGAGACCCCTTCCGATGGCATTTTCATGAGGGAGGGGTCTTGCCACATCCTTACTGTCCACAGGCAGGGGACCGGGGCACTTGGACAATGAATTTGTACCCTGTCCAGCCCCACTGCCTCACCTGCCACAACCCCTCTCCCACTGCCAGTGTCGCACATGCCCGTGGCGTCCAGCCTGACCCACGCGTATCAGTGCCTGGCCAGTTAGCACCAGGACAGGACCGGACGTGAGCGGGCGCTAGGCCTCGGGGTGGGGGATCTGACCATCACATTCCTTGTTCAACGGGAGGTTGGGGGGCCACAGTCGCACTGGCAGGTTTTAAAGATGGGAGGTCAGGAGGGCCCAGCTGTGGCCGGAGTCGCCTGGGAAGGGCAGGCCGAGCCTTGTTCCAGACACCCTGGAACCTGGAGGGGCTGCGGGCCAGGGAAGGGAGCCCGAGGGAGGGCGGCCTGTCCGGGGCCGGGCTCGGTGCAGCGGGACAAGTGACATTCCCCTCTGCGAACCCCGACTCCGAGAGGAGGTGCGAGGTTGTGTCCGGTCAGGGTGGGACCCGAGGCAGGGCCCTATCTCAGGGAGCTGTCAGATGAGACGTCTCGATCGGAGTCCTCAGTCTCGCTCGGCGGTGGCGGCGGGTCGCTGGGCGGGACTGCAGTGAAAGCAGGAGACTTTCTAGAAGAAAACACCAGCTGTCACCTTGGGGCGGGCGGGACCCTGTGAGGCGGGCACTCCTCCCCCTCGGCCTTGACTCTCGGGCCAGGGCAGGGGGACCACGGAGAGAGGGTGGGTGCTGGGCAGGGGCGTGGGGAGGGGGCCGATGGGGAGCCGTCCCTTCTTTATCTGGAGGACCTGGGAGGCTCAGGGTCCAGGAATGTTTGAAGTAAGAGATGCCACCCGGGCCGAGCGCACTGACTGGGTGGCCTCCGCTTTCTGTCTGTTTATAGAATTTCTATGACTTTTTCTTTCTTTTTTTTGTTGTTGTTGTTGTTGTTGCGGTGTTACTTACATGGTCAAAGCACAAACGATGGCCTTGACTCTCGGTAAACACCTACCTCACACCCCTTCTGTTCCTGGTCAGTTCTGAGCTGCCTCTCACCAGGGAACCACCAGAGTGGGTGGCACTGGGAGGTTTCAGCTGCCCACCAGCCGCAGACGGACACCCACTGGGCCTCATACCCTGTGACCTCCCCTGAGGGCCACAGCCGGAGGCGACGGTCGCTGCGGAGGGTCTTTCGGGCCTGCCCGCCGAGCGCGCCCTCGGGGGGCCCTTACCGGTCCCCGGACTGGGTGATGAGCCGGCGGCAGGTCTCCATTTGCACGTCCAGGCCCCGCTTCATGCTGCACATCTCCATGTACTCGTGCAGGTGCCGGTTCATGTCGTTCTTGGCCGTGGCGAGCTCCAGCTGCGGCAGGACAGGGCGGGACCGGCAGGTCAGCAGTGACCCTGCTCCCAGCCCCCGGGAGGCAAACAGGCCAGGAGCACCGCGGGCAGGGGGGCCAGGCAGCACAGCTGAGGGCTCCGATTATTTGTTTGTTTGTTTGTTTATTTATTTTTAAAGGTGTTTGTTTGTTTAGAACAGGGGTCTTCAAACTTCTCTCATTATGAGAATCACCTGGTGGAGTTGTTAAAACACAGATTCCCGGATCCCAACTATAAGAACTGCTATCAGGAATCTGTGTTTTAACACCCCCACCAGGTGATTCTCATAATGAGAGAAGTTTGAAGACCCCTGGTTTAGAACAAATTCATATTATCTTTATTTTATTTTATTTTTTAATATATTTTATTGATTTTTCACAGAGAGGAAGAGAGAGGGATAGAGAGCTAGAAACATCGATGAGAGAGAAACATCGATTAGCTGCCTCCTGCACACCCCCCACTGGGGATGTGCCCGCAACCAATGTACTGAAGGTCCTGACGGGAATTGAACCCGGGACCTTCAGTCCGCAAGCCAACGCTCTATCCACGGAGCCAAACCGGTTTCGGCATGAGGGCTCCGATTTAAAAATAAATCAGCCCTGGCCGGTTTGGTTCCGTGGATAGAGCGTAGGCCTACAAACTGAAAGGTCCCAGGTTCGATTCCGGTCCAGGGCACATGCCCGGGTTGTGGGCTCGATCCCCAGTAGGGGACTTGTGGGAGGCAGATTCTCTCTCATCGTGGATGTTTCTCTCTCTCTCTCCCTCTTCCTTCCTCTCTGAAATATATAAGAATATTTTTAAAAATAAAATAAACCAGGCTCAGCGGGCGTGGCTCAATGCTGGAGCATCGATCTATGAACCAGGAGGTCATGGTTCCATTCCCGGTCAGGGCACAGGCCCGGGTTGTGGGCTCAGTCCCTGGTCGGGGGGCGTGCAATAGGCAGCCGATCAATGATTCTCTCTCATCACTGATGATTCTCTCTCTCTCTCCTTCTCCCGTCTCTGAAATCAATAAAAATGTATTTTAAAATAAAATGAAAATAAATTTGATCGAGGCGGAAGGCTCTCAATATGCTGTCGTTCCTTCTAGTTTTCCAGGCAGTCTTTGCTACAGAGGAATGCAAAGGCATCTGCCCAGGCCTGCAGTCTTTCTACAGACTGGCCGGAGCCAAGAGGAAAGGAATGTTCACCCGCAGGAGGGAGAGGGGAGGGAGTTCCTGAGGGGGGGTGGGTAGGGGGCACTGTCTGGATGGCCTTACTTTCTGCCTGGGGTTCCTGCATGGCCCGGCTCACCCCTCACTACCCACAACCTGTGTGTGCCCCTCACTAAATTGGGCCACGGGCCTTACTGATCTCCACAGGTGCACACAGGTGCACGGCCGACCTGGATGGGAAATGGATTAACTGTGACGCAGCTACAAGATTCATGCATGGAGGAGGACACCTGTGTGCACGGTTGAAAAGGGTTCAATTCTCTTACCATCCATTTTCTCATTATCTTCTATTTTTTTTATTTATTCTTATCCTCACCTGATATTTTTATTTTATTTTACTTATTGATCTGAGAGAGAAAGAGAGAGTCTGAGAGAGAAAGAGAGAGGGAGAGAGAGAGAGAGATCCAGTTGTTTTCTTATTTATGCATTCATTGGTTGATTCCTGTGTGTGCCCGGACCAGGGATCAAACCTGCAACCTTGGGGTATTGGGGCATGGCTCTAACCAACTGAGCCACCAGCCAGGGCCAGCTTGACTTTATTTTCTCACTTGTAAGCCATTTCAGAGACTAACAGTAAGACCTGCTGCCAATACCGGTATAAAATGTATACTAGTGGTATAAAATGTATCCCAATGTGTCAGAAGTGTTACATGTGGGAAAAACAGGGGGCTCAGAGTCCAGGAAATACGGCCTCCCTCCGGGCTGAGAGGCAGGGCTGGGAGGTGGTGCAGAGGCTGAGAGATCTGGGCCAGAGACAGTCAGCTGCCTCTCTTTGTTTGGAGGAGAAGGGCAGGGCCAGGAGCAAGGCGGAAAGAAACTGCCTGGAGGTCATTTGCCTGACTGCCCGAGAGCAAAGAGACAGGGTTGGAAAGCAGCCTGAATAATGGGAACTGGGCAGAGGAAACCACCCACAGCTAATCTGAGCGGACAGACAGAGGACGGAACTCGAAGAAGAAGTAAGTGGGTCACAGGGCAGATGCAAGAGATGGTCAGGACAGGGACCTGGATGAGAGAGCAGCCTGGTTCCAGAGCTGGGGTTCCAGCTGGGGTTCCGCAATGGCAAGCCAGAGGAGCAGGACGTGCTGACCGTGCCAGCCAGGGAGGGATGTGATCCACCTGCTCTTTTCAGGGTGAGGGCAAAGCAGGTTTACAGACGTTCCTAAGAAGGTGACACAGTACGTAAATAACAACACAAGGATAAATTGTTCCTCGGACTCACAACCGCAGTAGACCTGCTTTTGCCCACTGTCTATTCCATCACCGACATAGATTCTATCGCAGCACAAGGCTTGGACTGCCACCTGTTGTCTCTACATGTTGGTCCACACAATTCAGGCGGAGATGCGCACAGGTTAAGAGGAATCCACGCCAGCCCACGCTGAGACCCCTGGGTACGCGCGGAGGGGCGGGCGGGATAAGGCTGGGAGCACATGAAGAGAAGAGGTGAGGGAGCAAGAATTCTCTCCCACCCTCCACCCTGTGCCTCGGCCTGACCATCGAATAATGGGACAAGCCTCCACCTCACTGACCCTGAGAGATCACAGGCCACAAAGATAAAGGGGCCTGGGGTGGCCCAGATGGGTTACCAGGAGCAACACCGCAAACAAAGCCACCACGTGGGCTCTGCTAACACCCCTGATGGCACCCCATTGGGAGAGTGGAGGAATCAAACATCTTCAAAAGCAAGGTTTCCTTCTTTCCCCATCAGGTTGTAAACTAAGCCCCTCTGGTCCAGGGGAAGGAACAGGCAGGATGCAGCCCGGACCACTGCTCCGAGGCCCCAGCTGGGTAAGGCGCGGTGAGAAGGTCACACCTTCACTCAGGTTCACGGAGGGAGGGAGGAGCGGGGGAGGGAGTCAGGCAGGGAAGGAGGAGGCAGTGAGAGGCGTAAATGGGAACGTGAAGGCCAGCTCTCCCCCTCAGCCCTCCGCTGGCGGCGTGAACCCAGTGAACTGAGCACTGCCCGCCAGGCTCAGGGGGCTGTATGCCGTCCTGTGCACCTGGGGCTGCGAGTTTGATCCCAGTCAGAGCACAGACCCAGGTCGTTGAGTTAGCACGCTGGTCAGGGCGCATACGAGGGACATTTCTCTCTCACATCAATGTGGATCTCTCTCTCTCTCTCTCCCCTTCTCTCTCCCAAGTCATCACATGAGGCTTAAAAAGAAACTACAGCCGAAATCTGTTTGGCTCAGTGGATAGAGCGTCGCTCTGCAGACTAAAGGGCCCCGGGTTCGATTCTGGTCAAGGGCATGTACCTTGGCTGCGGGCACATCCCTGGTGGGGGATGTACAGGAGGCAGCTGGTCGATGTTTCTCTCTCATCAATGATTCTAGCTCTCTATCCCTCTCCCTTCCTCTCTGTGGAAAATCAATAAAATATATTAAAAAAGAAAAGAAAAGAAAGAAAAAAAAAAGAAAGAAACTATAAACAGCACTTGTCTGTCTGGGCTAAAAACAAAAGCAGGTTTGGCTTAGAGGAGCAGGACCACGGGCAAACACGCCACGTGGGCTGGAGGGGGCGGAGCATTACGGGAGTCTGCCGGCCTGGGGACCTCATCCCCAGGCGGTGCTCAGGGGAGGACCCTGGGCCAGGGCAGGAGGGCTCCCAGCATCGCCTCAGCCTCCGCCCCCCCGCAGCCCCTCCATCCCGGCGCCCCAAGACCTTCTGGAGCCCCTCCCGGCCTGGAGTTTAAGTAAAAGCACCGGCTCCACCCGCCACCTCTAGAAGGTTCCTCAGGGCCGGGGAGTACGAACAGAGCTCCCCCCATTAGCTCAAAGGCTGAGCTGAAGACGCGGCCACAGCAAGCCCACCTGAGGGGTTCCACGACTGCTGCTAACTCCACGGGGACGCTACTAGCGGACAGACACTGCCCTCGCTCCACAGGCGCCATTTCATTCCGTCTTTAAGCAACCCTGGGGGGTGGGGGGTATTACTAAGACTCCCTATTACAAATAAAGCAACAGGCTTAGCCCTAACCGGTTTGGCTCAGTGGATAGAGCGTTAGCCTGAGGACTGAAAGGTCCCAGGTTGGATTCCGGTCAAGGGCATGTACCTTGGTTGCAGGCACATCCCCAATGGGGGGCGGGGCGTGCAGGAGGCAGCTGATCGATGTTTCTCCCTCATCCATGTTTCTTAACTCTCTATCCCTCTCCCTTCCTCTCTGTAAAAAAAAATCAATAACAATATATTCTAGCCGGGACCGGTTTGGCTCAATGGATAGAGTGTCGGCTTGGGGACTGAAGGGTCCCGGGTTTGATTCCGGTCAAGGGCATGTACCTTGGTTGCGGGCATATCCCCAGTCGGGGGTGTGCAAGAAGCAGCTGATTGATGACTCTCTCTCATCGATGTTTCTAACTCTCTATCTCTCTCCCTTCCTCTCTGTATAAAATCAATAAAATATATTTTAAAAAAAAAAATAAAATAAAAAAATATATATATATATATATATATATATTCTAAAGAAAGAAAGAAACAGGCTTAGAGAGACTAAGGAGCCTATTGAAAGTCAGAGTGGTAGCAAGTGAGAGAGCCGAGACGTGAACCCAGCTGTCTGCCTCCCTCCTGAGGTCTGAACCCACCGGAGGTACAACAGCGGGGCGCTCACAGGGAGGAAAGGAAAGGGGTTCTGGGGTTTCAGGACGGGACCACGGAGGTGCAGCCCGGCCCACGGCCACGCCGAGCCTGCACTGGCATCCTTACCTCTATCTGGTCGATGGTTTCCTGATACTCTTTCTCCCGGGTCTTGAACAGGGACTCGGTGTCTTTGATCACCTTCTCCAGACTGTCCTCCGGTTGCTGGAGGAGAAAGGGAAGCAAGGGTGGGGGCGGGGCAGAGGGAAGGGATGGGGCCGGGCAGGAGGGGGGTCATTTCCCAGGGCCAAGGAGGGGGAGAGAGAAAGTCAGGTTAAAGGAAACCGACTGTCGTTTAAAAAAAGGGAAAGGGTCAAGAAGAAGGGGAGATGGTAATGGGGGGGGGGGAGGGGATGAGGACAACTATGTGATACCATAATCAATAAAGAAATTTTAAAAAATAAAAATTAATTAATTAATTAAATTAAAAAAAGAAGACGGGGAGAAGCAGGTGAAGGATGATGGCCACAGAGGGAAAGCAGAGCGTGGAGGGGAGGAGGGCCGGGAGGGAGGGGGGTGGCAGCGAGCTGGAGGGGCGGAACGGGGCCCCAGGGCCGGTGGGGGGTTACCTCTCCCTGGGCCTCTGCCGCCGCCATGGCATAGCCTGAGAAATCCTCCCAGAGCAGCAGGGTCTCCTCAGTCTCCTCCCAAGTCAGGCTGTCACAGTCGTCCTCAAAATCATACTCCCTCCTAGAGACAGGGAGCCCGGGTCAGGGGGGGCCGGCCTCGGGCGGGGGGCGGGGGCCTGCGGGACTCACAGCTGGTTCAGCATGCGCTGCATCTCCTCGTTGATGCTGAGGGCCGTGCTCTCCTCCTCATCCCCCTCGGGCTGGCGGGGCCCGGCGCTCTCCGACAGGGAGGGCTCCTCCTCGGTGGCAGCCTTGCGCTCCCGCTTCCGCCCCCCCATGGATGGGACCTTAATGGGAGACAAGTGCAGAGACTACAGAGCCGAGGCCGGGTGCGTGAGGAGGAGGGCGGCGGGAGGAGAAGCGGGACCAGCGGGGAGAAGGGGGGGCGGACAGAGAGAGAAGACACAGTTACAATGACAGGAACACAGCACCGGTCACCAAGGGACAGGCACATGGACAGACGGGCACACGGACAGACAGGCACACAGACAGATGGGCACAGGGACGGACAGGCACACAGACGGGCACACAGACGGGCACAGGGACAGACGGGCACACGGACAGACAGGCACACAGACAGATGGGCACAGGGACGGACAGGCACACAGACGGGCACACAGACAGACGGGCACAGGGACAGACGGGCACACGGACAGACAGGCACACAGACAGATGGGCACAGGGACGGACAGGCACACAGACAGATGGGCACACAGACGGACGGGCACACAGACAGATGGGGGGAGACAGAAACAGCTGTGAGGTGAGAGACACATGGCTTGTTGTGACGTTAGGATGTGCACAAATGGCTAATGAGGATTTTTTTTTTTCCTAAAAAAAAAAAAAAGGTCTTTCTGCCAAAACTGGTTTGGCTCAGTGGATGGAGCGTTGGCCTCCTGGGTTCGATTCCGGTCAGGGGCATGTGCCTTGGTTGTGGGCACATCTGCGGTGGGGGGTGTGCAGGAGGCAGCTGATCGATGTTTCTCTCTCATTGATGTTTCTGGCTCTCTATTCCTCTCCCTTCCTCTCTGAAAAAAAATCAATAAAATATATTAAAAAAATAAAATAAAAAGTCTTTCTAATGAAATGGCTGAACAAAAAAGCAAGGAGGAGGATACGGTGTTCACAAAGGAGAACCTAAGCAGCATGTCCAGATCTGGAAGCCGGAAGAAGGGGTGGAGAGAAAGGAAGCGGAGAGGAAGAGAGGAAAGGGGGAGAGCCAGGAGACCGAAAGGGGGAGGAGTCTGCGCTGAGGAGCCACAGGTCAGGACCGACGGCCGAGGCCTGGGTGGTTCAGAAACAGGGACTGGGACATTAATAAGCTGCGTGAGAGCAAAACTAACCAGTTTCTTCTGTGGGGAAAGCCAGAGAAGGTGAGAGGAAGAGAGAGGAGAGGAGGCAGACAGAGGAGAGAGGGGGAGAGACGGGTTAGAGACAGCTTCCGAACTTCCTTCAGAGGCTGCTCTGGCCCCCTGGCTCGTCCCACGGGGGCCCCCTCGGAGGACAGGCGGCCATGAGAGGAGGCTGTCCCCCCGCCCCCCGGCCCTCCCAAGGCCCTCGGGGGGCGCGGAGGCGGCGGGCTCACCTGGAACATCTGGATCACGTCCTCGCAGTTGCGCTGCTGGGCCACATCGCAGAGCTTGGCGGTGATGTCGATGCGGCGGCAGATGTCCATGTCCACCTTCATGGCCTTCTCCTGGATCTTCTCGTCCAGCTCCGACATGTTCTGTGCAGGGAGCAGGGGGAGCAGTGAGAGGCAGCCCGCACGCCGCACGTATCCGACGGATCCCCCTGGCCAGATCCCCCTCGTCCTTCTGTGCACACCATCGCCAAGGCCGTCGCCAAGGCCTCCGGCAGCACGCGGCCCGCGGGTGCCCTCCACACAGTGCCCTCCGGCTCAGGCGCTGACTTCTGAGCAGCTGGCTCCCTGCCAGATGGGGAGCCCCTGGAGGGCGGGGCCCAGAGCCCAGGACATGCGTGTGTGGGGGGGTCCCTCTTGGCACTTATGTTCCGAGAGAAAGAGAGACTACTGGGCGTTAGGAGAGTGGAGCCAGTGCAATAAGGACAACAGCGGCTGACACTTATTTAGCGCCAAGTGTGTGCTAGCCCGGTGGTCGGCAAACGCATTGGTCAACAGAGCCAAATAGCAACAGCACAACGACTGAAATTTCTCTTGAGAGCCGAATTTTTTTTTAAACGTAAACTTCTTCTAACGCCACTTCTTCAAAATAGACTCGCCCAGGCCGTGGTATTTTGTGGAAGAGCCACACTCAAGGGGCCAAAGAGCTGCAGTTTGCTGACCACGGTGCCCTGTCCTCAAAGTTATGATCGTTATGATCATCATCCTCATTCTGCAAAGTACAGGCCTTCATTCCCCCCCCCCACCCCACGTGAGGGGGGAGGCCAGACGCTGAGGAATCCGCCCGCGGCCACACGGCTGGCGAGGGGCCCGGCCGGGGCGCGTGCCCCTAACTTCCTGCTGAACCAGCTCCGTGATGGGGGCGCGCTGCCTCCCCAACACCAGGGGCCGTGGCCCTTCTCCTTCTCCCGTGTCCCCTCTCTTTCTCCCGAAGCACTGGGTGGCAAAGGAAAAAAACGGAAGTACATAGAGCAAATCTGGGGTGGGGGCGGGGTGGACCGGAAATGAACAGGCCGCACCCGGCGGGGCTGCGGGCCGGCTGGACAGCCTGGTGGTGATGAGCCCCTCGGGGGAGAGGGCCCGGGGCGCTGGCTGCACTCACGTTGCTCATAAGCCCTTTGAAGACCACCAGCTCCGCTTTCAGCTGCTGCACCTTCATCGCCAGCTCCTCCTGGCAGGCGTCGGCCTCCTGGGCCTCCTGCGCCAACAGAAAACCCAGGCGTCAGCGGCCCTGCCAGGGTGGGAGGAAGGTCAGGACAAGGCAGGAGGGACCAGGAGGCCGGCTCCAGGGCCGCGGGGCACAGGGGAGGATGGAGGGGAGCCCAGGCGGTGGGGCGCCCTCACCTCCTGGAGCTCACGCACTCGCTCTTGCAGCTGAATCCGCACCGTGTACTCCTCTTCCCACCTGGCAGACAGGGAAGAAGGCGAGAGCATAGGGGCGGAGTCCCTCCCGGTCCCTCGCTCCCTGCTCCCCAGGCCTCAGCCCCTGGGTCTGGTGCTCCCTAGAGGAGGAGGCGCCGTGGGCAGGAATGCCTGGCAGGCCGGGCGGCGGCCAGCTGCAGCTGCCCCTGGCCCATGCCAAGCGCACCAGCTGCCTTCCCGGCACCTCCAGGCCGCTACATCTGAGAGCAACTGCAGTTGCTCTGGTCCGTCACACGCCCGTCCCATTCAGGCCCCGGGCCCGGCCAGCTGTCCGCGGGCCTCATCCCCCACGCCCTGCCCACACCCGGCCCGCTCTCCCGCCTCCTGCCTGCACCAGGACAGAGCTCCTCTGGCCTGCTGCCCTGCCTCGCACAGGGCCGTTTAGCCCTGTAAAAGCAGCTGCAGGACACACACCGCGTCCACGGGGACGCCCGGGAGCTGGGAGGAGACACTCGGTCCACCCCCGCACGCCCGAGGCCCCGCTACGGGAGCTGGAGGGAGGTGACCGTGGAGAGCAGGAGGTGGGCCTCCTAAGCACCCAAACCCAGAGGGAAGGGTCTCGTGAATTAGCGGCTGGAGAACCAGAGGTGGCAGCTCCTGGGACGCAGGATTCGGAGACTAAGACCACCAGCAGGAGCCCTAGCCGGTTTGGCTCAGCGGATAGAGTGTCAGTCAGCCCGCGGACTAAAGGGTCTCAGGTTCGATTCCAGCCAACCGCACATGCCTGCGTTGTGGGCTAGGTCCCCAGTGGGGGGGCATGCAGGAGGCAGCCGATCAATGATTCTCTCTCATCATTGATGTTTCTGTCTCTCTCTCCCTCTCCCTTCCTCTCTGAAATCAGTAAAGAAATATATATACATAAAAAGCCGAAACCAGTTTGGCTCAGTGGATAGAGCGTCGGCCTGTGGACTGAAAGGTCCCAGGTTCGATTCCGGTCAAGGGCATGTGCCTTGGTTGCGGGCACATCCCCAGTAGGGGGTGTGCAAGAGGCAGCTGGTTGATGTTTCTCTCTCATCGATGTTTCTCTCTATCCCTCTCTCTTCCTCTCTGTAAAAAAAATCAATAAAATATATATTTTTTAAAAAAGACCACCAGCAGGAAAGCAAACACTCTCACCACAGGCAGGGTCTCCGCCCAGGACCAGGCCTCTCACACAGGGTGGTCCCAGGTAAGCAGGTGCCTGGTCCGTTACATCCTGAGATGGAAGACTAGCAGTGGGGGCAACACCGCACCCCACAAGGCTGGCTGGAATAGCGGGATTTCTCCGACCCCACTCTTGCCACATTCTCTAATATGGTTTTATTGATTTCATAGGGGAAGGGAGAGGGAGAGAGAGAGAGAGGAGAGAAGCATCAATGATGAGAGGGAAACGTGCACTTGCTCTTGCAGCTGTATGCGCACCAACGATTGGCTGCCTCCTGCACACCCCCCACTGGGGATGGAGCCCACAACCCAGGCCTCTGCCCTTGACCGGAATTAAACCCGGGACCCTTCAGTCCTCAGGCCGATACTCTGTCCACTGAGCCAAGCCCGCTAGGGCCTGGCCACGTTCTGGGAAGATTCTTCCAGCCTGAGGGAAGGAGGGGAACTGCACCGAGAGAATCTTCAGTGTCAGAAAGGTGGTTAGGGAGTAGCGAAGAGGACATAAGAAAATGGAAATCTGAGAGAACGCGTTCTGTAGACACGGGATTCAGTCCTTGCTTCCCCTCCCTCCACCTTTTTCCCACCTCACCCTCGCACCGTTCCCTGGCTCTCCCTCCAGTGGCACCTGGCTCTCCTGTTCCTCACCCGCATCCGCACTGCAGTATTCCTAAGAATAACTTCTGCATCACCCAGGCTGCCCCTCCCAGTTGGGCAGGGAGAAGGCAGCCAGCCTGGCCACCACCCTGCCAGCCACCACCCTGCAGGCCACCACCCTGCCGGCTCAGCCTGCAGCCCAGACAGAGCACAGCCTTTTTGGTTCCCTGCCACCCATGTCCTTCCCCGTATGTATTTTCTTATACAAGATCCTTATCTGTCCTGGCCTTGTGTTCTTTATACCATAAAGGCTTGGGACGGGGTACCCTGGTGCCACTGACAGAGGAATATTAATCCTGGACAGGATGCATCAGGAAGGGGGAAGCACTGTTTGACAGGGAACTCAATAAATTCAGCAGAAACTTACGTAAGAACGTTATGTAAGGATTAAGGCTAATAAAAATCTTATGGCGTAAAAAAAAAGAAAGAAAGAAAGAAAGAAAGAAATCATGGGAGCTCATTAGAATTCTATTTACACTCCAGTCAGACTGTTCCGCAAACAGGTTCATTTTGACCTCCATTCAAATCTGTCCTCACTAAAGAGATTCCCTTAATATGTAGGATTTGAGCAATTTCTGTGTGTTCTGTATTTACCAACCACCTCTCTTCCAGATAAATGGTATCCTTGAGTAAAGTGAGGAAGCAGGAGCCATTCCTGCCCAGGAAAAACTGAGGCCAGAAAAGAGAACCGCCCCCCCCCAAGGTCACACAAGAGAGGGGAACTGAAAGTAGAATCCAGGAGGCTTCCGCTCCCTCCCAGCTTAGTGTTCAAGCCGTGGCCAGGCCTCTCAGGCCACCGGCAGGAGCCGGTGTTGCTATAAAGAGAACAGAATGAGGGCAGGGGATCTGGGGGGAAGGATGAGTGTAACTGCCAGTGTCACGTACCAGACAGCTCTAGCTGGGGGCCCTCTGCACAGCAGCCTGCTGCAGAGTGATGAGCTCATCAGTCCCCAAGGAATAACTCTTTGCTGCCTGGACAGCTGGACACTCTTTCAGTTTAAAAAAAAAAAAAAAAAAAAAGGCCCTAAGAACAGCAGTTGTTCCTGTGGCTGTAGAGGTATTCCAGAATTGTCCGTGTGGCACTGCTCACTGTGTTAATGAACTCCAGCTGGGGCTGGGGCTGGGACTGGGTGGATTCCCAGAGACACTCATAACATGGCCTACAACTAAGGACGCCAGTATGAGGACAAAACTCAGCCTCAGAAAGCATGCGGATCTGTGATCGGCTGGACTCTGCCTGAAGGCTGTCCCCGGACCCCCATAACTTCCCAGAACATTCAGCCAATCCCCACCAGACAAATCTCCGCTCCTCAGCTGCAGGGGTAATTCCCGGGCCTGCCCACTAGGGGTCAGAGTAGCTACTTAGGAGGCTACAGCTGAAGGCCCCCAAACCAAAGTTGGTCATCTTCCTCCTTGACCCTGGCATCAGGCAGAGTCTACAGAGGGCTTAATGCACTGTCCCAGCAGCCTGCTTATCAACCCTCTAAGGCAGCCACTTGGCACACAGCCAGCGCTCTAGCATGGCATCCCTTCACCTGGCCTTTTGGGCTACCCCGCCAGGTTCCCCGCAAAAAAAGCCAAATCTTCATCCTCAGAAGGTGTGAGCCTGCCCCCAGCTGCGGCACATTCACAGGGAGTGTCCACGCTCCCAACTTCCTCCTCCCCGCTCTCTGCTGACTGTTCTCAGTGCCTCCGCCCTGGCCTGGCTCTGCACTTCCAGGTTCCCCACCTCCCACCAGCCCCACAACTACCAGTCCCTCCCCTTTCCCTAGGGAATTCCCTTGACTCTTTCTTGCCCCATGTTTCTGACCTACTCCAAGCAATGCTCTGCGGTCCTGAGCTTCACTCCGCGCAGGGACCCAGACTCCGTTCCCAGCGCTGCTTGGGGAGCCGTGGCAGCGGCAGGATCACCCACCGCACCGGGCAGCCCGCCTCGCCACTCCCTCCTAATGCCACATTAGACTCCCAAGTCGAAGCTGTTGCCTCTGACTCTCCATCCGTATGTGAGCTCAGATCACAAAACCACCCGAGGGCTGACTCTGATAAGCAGTACCCCCAGACGTGGCTTCTCAGACCCCTGTCCCTTTCACACCCCACAAAACCCCAGTTACACCCTCCTCCGAACACTATAGAGGAGACAGAAAGATGAGTCAGAAGAAATCTATGAATTCCCCACAGTATTCCGCTCCCAGTCTCCTTCTTGTCACGGATGTGACTTCTGCATTCTCTGCGGATCCAGGCTTCCGGGAGCCAGTGCCACCTAGCCACTTCCAGCTCATCCTTACTCTCTCGTGTTAGTCCCCCCCTGATTCTGGGGCCCCAGCTGCCCTCCTCCCCGCACCTGCCCTCCTCCCCGCACCTGCCCTCCTCCCCGCACCTGCCCTCCTCCCCGCACCTGCCCTCCTCCCGGCACCTGCCCTTCTCCCCGCACCTGCCCTGGCCCGAGTGTGGCAGGACGCTCAGCCAGCATCCTACCTCCGCTTGTACTCGTCCCGCTCGCGCTTCACCTTGGCCAGCACGTTGTAGAGGGCGCGGATCTCGGGGGTGATGGTGTCGATCTGGACGCCCACCCCGTCGGGGTGCACCCAGGACAGGCCAGGCCCCTGCACCAGCATGGGCTCCAGTCCCGGGCCGGCCCGGCGGGCGTGAGAGAAGGACCAGATGGTGCCGGGCATAAAGCGGGATGGCGAGAAGGCGGCGGAGGCGGAGGCGGAGGTGCAGGCGGAGGCGGAGGCGGAGGGCGAGGAGTGGCAGGTGGCGGCGGCGGGCGCGAGGGGTCCGGCGGGCGAGCGCACGGGCGAACCCAGCACCCGCGCCGACGGGGTGCAGACGGCGGCCGGCCGGGCGCCCAGGGGCAGCCCCAGGGGCCGGATGGGACTGACGAAGCCGGTCTGCACGGCCTGGTCGCGGCGAGCCAGGCCCCGCCGGCCCGGCTTGCCGCCCTCCAGCGCCTGCTGCAGCTGCTTCTCCAGCAGCCGGTTGCGGCGCTCCAGCTCGTGCACCTTGGCCAGGAAGCAGCGGAAGCGGAGGTTCAGGGTCTTGAGCACGTTGATGTTGGAGCCCAGGTCGTTGCGGAGGGCCATGGCGGCGGGGGGCGCGGGGCCCGGTTCAGGCGGCAAGTAGGCAGTCGGGCCCGAAGGGGCGCGCGGCGACGGGGTCGCGTCCCCACCCCCCGCGAAGCGATCGCCTCCCAAAGGGTCCCCCGGCGGCCCGGCCAGGCCCTGCTGCTCCTGCTGCAGGAGGAAGAGGTTGGGCCCGAATAACGGATTCATGGCTGCGCCTTCTGCTGGGAGATGGAGCCGGGTGCAGGGCAGGGATGCGGGGCGAGGGAGAAGGGCCAATGAGGCGCCCGGGGACGCAGAACAGCCAATCAAACGGCTCGACAGAGAGGGCAGAGGTCAGGGGGGCGGGGGAGGGCGCAGAGGGAGCCAATAAAATGCTCCATCTGAGGTTGGCACCTAAACTTTTCCGGGTCCGAGGCAGAGCCCAGAGCTGAGCAGACCACAAGCCAGCGCTTCTCTTGAGCACCAGACCCCAGTCTGTGCCGATCCCAGCCAGGGTGGCCAAAAGGCCCAACCCTCCAGTCCGCCATGGGTCCTGGTAGCAGGAAGCCCATCTCCCCACACCCCTATTTCCCTCCTCCCCCCAAACACCCTACCTCCAACTCCTGGCCTCTCATTTCCGGGGTCCCTGGAGTCCCAGGGGTCCCAAGAGCCTAAAACTGACCTGATTCCTCTGTATACCACTGTCCCCTCTTAAGAGGATCCATCCCACCCTCCCACTTCTTCCCTTAAAGGGGCAATGCTGGTACTCGGCCCCCTCAAAAAACACAGCGACCAGAGATTGTAAAATGTATATTAAATTTCATATGCACAGTGGGAAAGCCATCCTCACAGAGGTAAGAGTTCCAACCCAGAGACAACACCAAGGAGCACCCCCAGTCTAGTTTCACTCATCCATCTAAGACAGCAGTGGCTGAGATTTTCTCCTCTTTGCTGGTGGGGGCCGGCTGGCACTAAGGGAGGACAAGGTAGGAGTCTGGGGTTCCTTGGGGGTGCCATTCTGTTTCTGGAAGGCAGCTTTCTTGGAAGGCTTTTGCGGTACCTGCTGCTTTGCTTTCTCAGCCCCTTGGGGCTGAACACAGTTCTCAGGCTTCCAAGTGGCCAGAGTCTTGGGAAGGTTCAGCCCAGAGGGCAGCTCTGTCTCCATGCCCTTGGGAGAAGCATTCTGCCTTCGGAAGGCAACTTTCTTGGAAGACTGCAGTTTAGGGGCCTGTTGCTTTAGTTTCCCAGTCACCTTGGGTTTTCCGATCACTACGGCCTTTTCAGCTGGCTGCCCGTTACCCTGGAGCTTGGAGGAGGCTTGGACCTTTGGGACAGAAGGTCCAGTGGACAATTCAGAGTCTGCCCCTTTGGGGACACCATTCTGCTTCCGGAAGGAGGTCTTCTTGGGATGTTGCCGTTTCTGCAACTGCCGCTCTGCTTTCTCAGCCCCTTTGGCCTTCTTGGCAGGCTTGCTGCTGCTCTCAGGCTTGGGGGTCACCTGACCTTTCGGCTCAGGTACATCTGGGTTTGTAGGGGTGGATGTTGCAGAATTTCCTGGGTCTAAAATTAAACAGGTTATGTGAGAAAAAGGACCTCATCACTCGGTCTTAATCGTTAGTGGTGGAGACAAATAGAGGCATTAAAATAAGGAAACTGCCTGGGTACTGTTTCTTGGCCAAGCGTTTGACATAACAAAGAGTGCCTTAGAGTAGACTACCTGGCTTCCCTTAAGTCCTATTTGAAGTCTGCATTAAAGAGAAGGGTTCAGCCAAAACCGGTTTGGCTCAACGGATAAGAGTGTCGGCTTGGGGACTGAAAGATCCCGGGTTCGATTCCAGTCAAGGGCATGTACCTTGGTTTGCGGGCACATCCCCAGTAGGGGGTGTGCTAGAGGCAGCTGATCGATGATTCTTTCTCATCGATGTTTCTAACTCTCTATCCCTCTCTCTTCCTCTCTGTAAAAAAATCAATAAAATATTTAAAAATAAATAAATAAATAAATAAAGAGAAGGGTTCACTACCCATCTTTAGGTCAAAAAGTTTTAGAGGAAGGAAGCTGTGCCCCTGAGGACAGCAGATAGCAAGAAATTCTAACACACAGCTAGAAAAAAGCTATTAAGACATAAATGAGTACTGACATATTAAATATGTACTTTTAAAGTTAAAACAAATTTTAACTAAGGTTTTTGTTAACATTCAGATGTGACTTTGTAAGAGGCATTACTAATAAAGAAAAAACCCAACTCAATAAACCATGCAGTTTATATCCAGAGCCGCTCACTTCTCCCTCTGCCAACTAAACCCGGGTTATATCCCAGCATACAGAGCTCAGCACACCCCACACTTCCCCTGGAGATCCAGGACAGACTCCTCAAGATGGCCGAGAAAACAATCTGTAATTATTGTGATGGGCTCAGAGAACGGACAGTTCTGAGGAGTTTTACTGCCAACCCAGTGCTGACAGTGCTGGACCAGGAGAGGTCCATTACCAGTAAGGTGACCCTGGGCCAAGAAGGAAGAGAAACCACAACCCGCATTGGGAACGTATTTAGTGATGAGCAAGTGCAGCCACTAGGTAGGTAAAGGAGCAGGCCGGCATCCACAGGAGCACTTTAACACATTCCGATGGGGTCCCAGCTCAGGACAAGCCTAGCTGGATGAACGGGGTCTCTTATCCAAGCAGGCTCAGGCTATGCTAAGGATGGCAGAAATCCTCCCTTCCCCACAGTCACACGATAATGAGTCCTGAAAGGCAGAGATGATGGGTAGAGAGATCACTTACCTGTTTGGGTCTGGGGAATAGAATTGGAGAACTTCTTGAACTTGGCAATAAAGAAACCATCCATATTGTGGGTGTGGGGGTAGAAGCGGCGGGTGGAACGCAAGGAGGGGTGGAAGCGTCTTTCTCGAAAGCGGGTGAAGCCCTCCTGGCCAAAGTCTAGACCCGTGGGCACCAGCCGCACATTCCTCTTTTTCAGGGCATAGTCTACCACCCACTCGTTCTCCTCCACCTGGACATGTGGGGGAGACAGAATGGAAGGAAGAGCAGAGCTGAGCTGAAGGGAGCTAAGGGGCAAGTCTTCCAGCCCTGCCCCCTGCTCTGCCATGCAGAGGCCTCACCATGATGGAGCAGGTGCAGTAGACGAGGTAGCCTCCTGTCTTGGAGGTGGCATTGACAGAGTCGATAGCACTCAGGAGCAACTCCTTCTGAAGGTGAGCACAGCGCAGGACGTCCTTCTCGTCCTGCCCCAGGGCGAAGACCCGAGAGTGTCAGAATTCCAAAAGGCAGTCTCAGGAAGGGAGGTGAGCTGCTGGGGGCCCCTCCACCTCCCACTCCTGCTCTGCAGGGCCCAGCCTCTCAGCTATTCCCACCCCCACCCCAGCTCCTCACCTTGTTGGTCTTCACAGCTGGGTCCTTGGAGATGACCCCAGTGCCACTGCAGGGAGCGTCCAGCAGTACCCGGTCAAAGCCCCCCACCACCTGGAGGAAAAGGGATGTTAATCACCGTTTTTAGTCACCTATCCTGCACCATTTATTTCCGAGGCAAGTCTAAATATTCATGTCAGGAAGGGGGCAGGTGAACTGGAAGACACCCAGAGAGATGCAGAGAAGGAGCCCCACCTTGGGGAACTGGCGCCCATCATAGTGGCTGATAATGGTGTTGGTGACTCCCAAGCGGTGCAGGTTACCCACAACACTCTTGAGCCGCTCAGCATTGGCATCGTTGGCAAGGATCACACCTGTGTTCTTCATCAGCTGGGCTGGGGGAGGGAGAGTCAGTGCTCAGCAGCCAGCTCCTCTGCCCCCACACTCGCTAGCACCCTCCAGCCTAGGAACCCATAGGTGAAGTCTCAGCTCCTCAAGGGAAGTCTCACCCCATCAGCCCTGCTCCCCACTGCCTACTGCACGGGTCTCCCCAGGCTGCACTGACCCCGTGATGAGCACACTCCTCAACATGGGTTTTTCCATCGTTACTGAACATCTCTCTGGGCCCAGAGACTAAGTCACTTCTTTTAAGTGTTAACAGCTTAATATTAATAAAAAAAAAAAATGGTTAAAACTAATTACTATGCAAGTATCTCTATATGTATATCTCAATCAACCCTTATCACCCGAGCATAATATAATAGCCGACCCAAACACAATTACCACCCCATTTTACAAAAGCAAGGTCCTAAGTGCCACCCACGGGGCTGGAACTCAGCCGAAGCCAGAGCCTGTACTCCTCACCACTCTGCCAGCTGTCTGCGCAGCTTCCTAAGAACCAGCGAGTCACCAACCCCATCTACTTTCAAAAGCAGAGAACCAGACAGACCCTACTCCTGCCTGCATTCTCGTACCTATGTAGCTGGTCTTTCCTCCAGGGGCACAACACATGTCCAGGATCCGCTCATGCTCCTGGGGTGCCAAGGCCATGACAGGTAACATGCTGGAGGCTCCCTGAAGCATGTAGTGCCCAGCCAGGTACTCGGGAGTAGCACCTGCAGAGGAGGACCTGTTTGTGACATGTTGGGAGAAGGGCAGAGGCAGAGGGCTACTGGTCAGGGAACACTCACCAATGGGCACTGAGGAGTCATATACTACTAGTCCCGTCTTTGACCACTTGCCCAGGGGATCCAGGTTAACCCCACGATTGATTAGCGCCTGAAGGTAAAAAAAAAATGAAGATTTTTAAAGCCTTAGAGGTTACCATGTCCAAAAAACAGATGGAGATATGAAAACCTGGTCCGATCAGAAAGTCTGTGGTACAACTCCTAGATCTCTTAGAAAACCATCACCACAGACTCGCTGAAAGCAATTTCTCCTCTCACATCCCATCCCACCCCACCCCATCCTTAGCCTGAGGCTTTAATTCAAGGTCTGAACTCCACCCCACTGGCACAGACTGAAACAGACTGGCAGCTCCTGCTATTTCCTATAACATACCAAAACCTAATCCTATTGGTCAGAGCACATTACAGATAATTATCAGGTTATCTTCATACAGGAAACATGAGACACACGGGGAACTGAGCTTTAGAAACAGGGCTCTTTAACCTGGGGTCCTTGAGCCCTTGGAAACAATGAGCTTAAAACAGCTTCTCAATGATCTAAACGGCAGACAAGTCCCTCCCATTTCTGAGGTAGCACTTTTATCCTTATGCAGACGTCTCAACTGTCCAGGGAGCAGAGGCTAAAGGGACAAGTTTTCCACTTCACAAAGGTCCTAGGCCCCGAGCCAGTAACACAGGCCCGGTGTGACACCAGGCCTGTACAGGTCTGCCTCCTGGAATTACGTTTACACCAACAACCGGTACCAGTCAGGGTGGCTAACAGAAGTCAGTACCTCCCAGAGACAAGCAGACCTCAAAACCCACCCCTCACCTGAGCAAGGTCTCGGCGCCGGGTTTTCAAGGTGTTGGTCCTGAGGGTGATGGGCCGAGGCACCTCATTAGCTTCTAAGAACTCCACCAGCTGGTAAAGCAAGATGGCAAGGAGCAAGTCAGGGAGATAAACGCACAGGGAGCTGAGCGCCACTCTTCCTCGGGGTAAGAAGAGAGGTGATAACAGGAAAGCAGGAGCATTTGGCAGTTCAGTACCTCAGACAGAGGGAAGAGGTCCATAAGCTTGCCAAGCAGAAAGTCTCCATAGGAGTAGTAAGTGGCCAGATCCCGCTGAAGCCGGTGCAGATATTCAGCTCGAGACCGACCTTCCTCCCGCAGAGTCCCAAAATCACGCAGCACTCCCACTATGTCTTGGATGCGCTTATGAATTCGTTGCAAGTCTGGAGCCTGGGCACGTAGGTCCGTTAAGAAACTTTCATAATGGCCCAGGGCCTGGAAATCCCCTCCAGCAAGCACCTTTCCCCACCCCTCACCCCTCACTGTAAGGATATCCTGCTCCACATCCCCAGCAGGGGGCAGCATAAAAGGCTCCTCTTCATCCAGGTTGATCTGCAGGCCCCCATCTGTCTCTTTTTCCTCTTGGGGCCCTGACTCAGGGGACACTTCCTCCTCTTCATCAGTTTCCTCCTCACTCCACTCTCCCCTAGAAACAGGTCCAGGAACAAAGTGATTCACAGATCAAAACAGACACCTCTTCCTTCCTCACCTTTCCTTCATCCCAGCCGCTAACTATTCTCCGTTCTAAAAAGTTTTCAAAACTCACCCAGCAAAAGCTTCCTGGGCCTTCTGCTTCCGAGCAGCCCTTTCAATGGGCAGCAACTAAAAAAGACGAGAGGCTGGTGAGGCAGAGCTTGCCCTCCCACCAACCCACTGGCACTTTTATCTCTGTATTTTTTTTTTTCCCTAAATACAAATGTAACACTTGCTCTCAGAAGGTAAGGAATACCCTGAAGAAGTGAATTTAAATTGGCACAATACTGACAGCTGTTGAAACTAAATGATGGATTCGAAGGGTTCCTTATACTGTTCTATCTACTTCTGCATTTCCCTTTGCATTAAGAAGTTTAAAACATGAATACACACCCATATGTGTACAAGGAGGACAAAAACTGTCCTTAGGCATCTTTTCTGCCATATTTTCTTCCACACTTATTTTTTTTTAAGAGTTTAGTAAGTTTAATTGAGCCCAAATTGACAATTGCTGGGAAGCAAGATCTCAAATGCCCCCTATTCTACTTTTCCTACGTTAAAATCATGATACGTTTCCAAATTTGTTTCTTGCCTTTTCTCACTCACAGATAAATAGGCATATTCAAACATAATGGCCAACTGTTAATTTAGCATATGTCTATTGGGTAGTTTGAAATTTTCCAGTTTTTCGCATTAGAGTCCATGCGGTACCTCAAAATCTCCTAATAGGAGCTCTATAGAGAGATGGGGGTTTGTGGGTAAGGGGTGCAAATTGGAACTTGTCTTTTCTTTTTAAATTGATTTTCAGGGCCTTTTTAAGAATTCTATATAACTCTTTATATTAAAATTCTCTAGTAACACATCCATATACTAATTGTGGAATAAATAACTTCTTACACCTCAGTAAATAAATCTGTCCACATTTTGGATCATTTCCCAAATGGAATTACTAGGAAAGTTTCTAGCTCTGGCTGGTGTAGCTCAGCTGGTTGGGTATTATCCCTTGCACGGAAAGGTTGCCAGTTCGATTCCTGGTCAGAGCATGTGTCCAGGGTTGTGAGTTCGATCTCAGGCATGGGGGGGGGCATGAAGCAGCCAACTGATGTTTCACTCTCACATCTCTCTCTCTCAAAACCAATAAAAAAATATTTTAAATTAAAAAAAGTTCCTAAGGTTCTCAGCAAATGCTTTATAAAAAATGTGTGCAGGTCCTAGCTGGTTTGGCTCAGTGGATAGACTGTCGGCTTGTGGGCTGAAGGGTTCGCTTCCAGTCAAGGGCACATGTCCAGGTTGCAGACTCAATCCCCAACAGGTTGTGCAAGAGGCAACCGACCAATGATTCTCATCACCAATGTTTCTCTCTCTCCCTATCCTTTCCTCTCTGAAATCAAAATCAATGTATTAAAATGAACTTTTTTTTAATGTGTACATTTCTATTTCCATCAGTAGGGTACCAAGTGTCCACCTTACCACATCCTCATTAGCACTGAGCATTCTCATAATTTAAAATGCTCCATCAAATAGCTCATTTAAACATGCATATGCCCTGGAATGATGTAAGGTGCTAGGAAAAGTGTTAAAAAAAAAAAACAACCTAAAATCCTTTTTTTCTTCTCATGGTTATCCTTGTCTCAAGAACCTGGAAAGACTAAAATGCAAGGATTGCTTCCTGAACATCTAGAGTAGGGGTGTCGAACTCAATCAGAGAAGGGGCCAAAATCTAAAATCCAGCCTAAATCGTGGGCCGAATGGTTTACTGAACAGTCATAAACTGTCATTGTGATGGAAACGCAGCGGAGTGCAGTGATGACAGCGCGGTGCGGGCCACATTGCAAGGCCTGGCAGGACGGATTTGGCCCGCGGGCCTTGTGTTTGACACATGTGATCTAGAGAAATAAACTCACCTCCTCCTCATCTTCGTCCTCTGAGTTGGAGTCTGTCCCATAGTCATCTCTCATATCAGCATCACTGTCCTCAGAGCCCCAGAGGTCCCCCTGGCGTACCACACCATCCTCTTCAGAGTCTTCCTCCTCCTCTTCCTCATCACTGCTATGGGCTGGTGCTGGGCGCTTCTTGCCCTTAGCATTGTTAAATAAGGGCTGGGCTCCCTTCTTCCCAGGTGTCTGGAGAGCTCCTGCAGAGATCCCTAAGGGTTTGAAGAAACCTAAACTAATAGTAGCCACACTCTGATGGAGCCTGTACTTTCTACCCCCAAGAATATCCTCTGACTGCTTTCACTCCAAAAATGATCAGCGAGCCCCTCTCTTCTCAGGCCCATAGGACTCTTCATGTAACACCCAGCTATTTTCACTGACCTTTTAGTAGCTTTCCAGGCAATGGTTTGACCCCAGGGCGCTTATTCACTTCAGGAGTTTCAGCAGAGCCCAACCTCCTCTTGGCTGCCCTGAAAATATGTAAGGACAGAGGAAATGGAATGCACCTGCAGGTTCTGGCATTTTCCATCACAAGGAAGTGTGACAGCAGTCCCCAAACACCCTTTTCATCAGCATCATCACATGGGATCATGTGGCTGAAGATGAACAGTTTCAATTTAATCTACGTAAGTCTGGTCATCCACACTCACCTCTTTCGAGCACGGCTAGACAGCCTTTTGGAATTTTCGTCACCAGCTGTAGGAGAGAGAAAGAGAAAGAACAGAAAGTTACAGGGAAAATAAAAAACAGGAAGGACAGAGGAAAGAAGTGGGGAGAGAGTTAATGAAAGAGAGACAATTCTAATTCACTGGATAAGAAATATAAAGGAGATGACCTCCATCTCATTGTTCAGCAACCAAATCCAAGACTTTTGATTTCAATAAAGAGCATCATCACCGTTCTGATAACATAGATTTAAAAGCTAGAGTTATCTTCTGCTCTTTCACTCTCAATTTAGCTGGTTACCAACCACTGTAGATTTTACCTTTACAACTGCTGTTTTTCATACATTTTCCAAGAAATAAAAGGTTTAAATCTCAACCCTTCATTTAGTAACTGTATGCAAGTAACCTCTCAACAATCCACTTCAACAGTGCCTTTCTCACAGGGCACTAAGAGAATGAAGCAACGTGTCCAAAGGGCTCAGTACAATGCTCAGCTCAATGAACTGCAGCTTGTCTCCAACGTGCAATGCGAACTACCTGTCTCTCCTACCAGTCTTCCAAGAAGCGGACTGCTCACACAAATCACACCAGATTTGTGTGCTCCCATCTCCATCCTCTCCACAATGCACTTCACAGGAACTGGCCTGTCCCTTTCCCAACTTTAATTTGCTAGAATGTCACCCAGCCCAGCCAGTGGCTCAATGCTTGAGTGTTGACCCATAAACCAGGAGGAGGCAGCTAATCAAAGATTCTCTCTCATCACTGATGCTTCTAACTCCCTCTCCTTTCCTCTCTGAAATCAATAACAAATATATTTAAAAAATATATTCAAAACCCATGTGCTTAAATCGAAGTTCTCTCACTGCGTGAGGACACCTTCATTTGGACTCCTTCCGAGTTAAACCTCTCCTTGTTATGAGTACTTGTGTCCCTGTCGCTTCTTCCCTAAGCTCTAAACGCTGATGAGGGGGGTTTCATTCATACTTATTCCTAGAAGATTCCACTTCAACAGGAAGCGGAGAGACTAAATAAAATGAAGGTTATGCATGTATGTGGAAAAAGCGGCGCACAAGCTGGAGAATCAGAAGGCATGCTTGACCCTCCCTCACCTGCAGGCAAGAACCTGGCGAGCTCGGTCTCGGCGCCCTTCTGTTTCCGGGCCTTTCGGCCGGGCCCGCGCTTCTCCTTCTTGGTAGGGTCCAATTTGCGCCCCATGACACTGGGGAAAAGAAAGATGGGAGTCGCCCGTGTTGGAAAGGGAAAGGCAGACCGCAGACTCGGCGTATTAGAGTGGGAAAGGGCATCATCTCCACCAAAACCTCGATTCAGACCAAACTCCTTCCACGACGAGACCCGGACTCCACGCCATTTGCACAGCGTCCCTGTCCTCGCGACCCAGCCCAGGTCAGCGCTCCCTCCCCCGACTTCCTCCAGAATCCTCCGAAGCCTCGGCTCACCTGAAAGCGGGTCCAGGCCCGAGACGCGCCTTCAGCAACAGGGACAGCTGCCCACGTGCAGTCGGAGGCTACCGTTCTGACGCCACTCTCCCAGGAAGTTTTACGCCGACGCACGAAGCGCGCACGCCGGGTGGCCCCGCCCCTTCCGGTCGCCGCAGAACCCGGAAGGCACGGGCGCCCTGGAAACGCGCGCCAGGCGGTTCGAGCGCTGCCGGGGAAAATTCGGGAGCGGACCACTCTACTGACTCCCAGAGGGAAGGCAGTGGAGGCGGAGCCGTTCGCAGCTTCCGCGCCCTCCCCTGCCGGCCTTGGGGCCTTGGCGTTTTGCCTCAGTGCATGTTTCAGTTGGGAAAATTGATGCCTGCAGGCCTCCCCATCACCCAAACCAATGCGAAATAGCCGGACCCTCCTCCTGGCACCTCCCCCGTACCCCGAAGATCATAGAATCCCAGGCCCCTGGCCTTCTCCCAACCCATAATTATGAACCCTCTTCCTTTATCCCACGGACCCCTGTTCACCCCATTAGGTAGTTACTCTGCTTAGCTTAAGGTGACAGATTTTAACATTGGTAAAGCGGGACACCATTGACGAGGGGGAGGGGGTGTTCTTGATTAAAAATTTGGTCTATATTATATATTATAAATTATTATATACATATTGCTTAAAAACAGTAAGTAGGTACTATGTTTCCCCAAAAATAAGACATCCTCCGAAAATAAGATCTACTTATAGGTTTCCTTCTGAGTGAAATATAAGGCATCCCCCCGAAAATAGCCCCCCCCCAGGCTAAACATGATTTGGTCCACTGATTCTGAAATGGAGTCACAAGAAATTCACCAGGAAATTCAGGAATTGGATTGTTATAATGATGTTCCAGAAGATGACATGATTGTCATTGAATAAATGAGTAAATTCTTGATACTGTAGGATTCACAGTTTGTCTGGTTTGTGTTGACAACTACCGTACTACCGTACCATATACAGGTAATAAATTTCCTTTATTTTCATTTAACAATAAATGTGTACCGTATTCTTCATGGGAAAATAAGACATCCTTCTTTGGGAGCAAAAATATAATACACTGTCTTATTTTTGGGGAAACGGTACATAATTACATGAACATTGTTAGTTTATAAATTAGTTATAAAGTAACTATATTTTAAAAATTACTTTAATTTTAATCCTATATTTCTTTCTAAATAACAATACTAACTGGTATTTTTCCTCTGAATCTGTCGTAACATAAGTCACGTCATTTTCAAGGCGGGAGCTAGACTTTTTGCTGCCACTAATAATACGAGTACTGTCTGCTAAATTCAAGAAAATTTATGTATTTATGAAATACCTAAATTATCTGGATAGCTAATTTATGACATCACTTGTTTAACTAGCTTACTGGCACCAGTACGTGTATCGTGAGAGTTACAAAATGTTTTCATCATTGCCAATCCCAAAAAATGCCATTGTTCATTAAGTCCAAACAATGGTGGTCGAATTCTAACAACTTAACAACATTGCGAACTTTGATAAGCAGTTCTCAACAATTATTTGTTATTATTAAAGTTTAACATTATAAAATTAACAAAAATATAAAACTCATATCCTGGCTAAATAGCCACATGGCCGCCGAAAACTGTATATTCCCTTCCCATTCTCCTGTTGCTCCCTAGCTTGTCGTGCATTCCTTCCAAAAATTGGGATTTTTAAAATGCGGCGGGACAAATTGTTAAAAATTGGGACTGTCCCGCCAAAAGCGGGACATCTGGTCACCTTAGCTTCACATCTGGGGCTCAGGGGGACATATTGCATCTTGACTTCATACAAGTGAGCAAGGAAAAACTGTTTCAGCCTTCCCACTTACACTAAGATAGTGTTCAGCAGCTGTTAAACACTGCCCCAAGCATTGTTACTGGATTTACCTTCCCAACTTTCTGAAGATTATTTTATACACGGGAAACCTAAGCCCAGAAAAGTTACCTCGGTCACACAGCCATGAAATGGCAGGTAGGACAGGGTATGCGCTCAGGCAGTTGGGAGCCCCTCTTTTCCAGGGGAGAATGAGGCGTCTCCCTTGGTCTGGAGCACAGGGCACATGCACACGACAGGAGTGCTTTTGTCAACTATCAGAACTCATGGAAACCTTTAGTTTCCAATTACATAAAAACGACAGGAGTGCTTTTGTCAACTATCAGAACTCATGGAAACCTTTAGTTTCCAATTACATATTTCCCAGGGCTCCGGTCATACACATGCATCCACCTGCTCCTACAACCCACACTCAACCAGAGCACTAAAATACAAGGAAACTTTTATTTTCAATTTTCATCAAGAAATTTTGCTGTGGTTTTTATGCTTTTGGTTCTTTTCCTTTTTTTTCTTCTTTTTCCAAACTTTATTTCATTCTAGCCGTGGCTGGAGCCGCTGGGTTCCTGGTATTAAAAAGATGCCAACAGAGGTAGCTGTGTCTCACCCAGGGGCCCAGCCCACTCCAAATACCCCAAAAAAGGAGAAAAGAAAACACAAAATAAATCAAGATAAAACCAAAAGAACGAAGAAATTCAGATCATTTTCTTCAAGCCTGGCAGGAACCCACAACAGTTTGTGTGTAACAGACGTTACAGTGGGGAAAGCCAGGGCCCAGAAGAAGGCCAGCCAGCCCGCCAGCTTCCTGCAGATGGCGCCGGCGCTACTGCTGCATTCTCTCCAGCAGGAAGGGCACCACTGCCCTCACTCCCTCCCCTCCCCCAGCAGACTGGGGCCATTCCTTTCAACATGGAAGATGGGCAGAAGGAAGAAGAGGGTCTTTCAGGCCCCCAAGGAAGAAGCTGGGCAAGGGAAAGTGAGGAAGGTGAAGGTGGTTATCGTCAGTCTGGATCTTCACTGCTGCTGGGCTACCTATAGCAAAAGAGAGACATGGACGTAAGAATTCCAAACCAAGGTATTCACCAGGTCCCAAGAGAACTTCCTGGTAGGAAGCCCCCACCTGCCCGGTGAGGGACAGAGAGTGAAAGTTACAAGTTCCAAATGGCTCTGCTGGCACAGGGACCATGAGAAAATAGTCCAGCCCTGGCTGATTTAGCTCAGTGGATAGAGTGTCAGCTTGTAGACTGAAGGGTCCCAGGTTCGATTCCAGCCAAGGGCACATACGTGGCTTGCGGGTTTGGTCCCCAGTGTGGGGCGTGCAGGAGGCAGCCAATCAATGATTCTCATCATTGGTGTATCTATCTCTCTCTCACCCTCTCCTTTACTCTCTGAAATCAGTAAAAATATATTTTAAAAAAAAGAAAGAAAATGGTCATACCTGCTGCGGAGTAGGTTCAGGCGCTCGGTTTGCCAGGCGGCTGAGAATGTTTCGCTCTGACATCTGTAGCCTCACAGCAACTGGGGGAATTCGGGCAATAGTAGCTGGGAGTCGAGTCACATCAGCTTTCATGTCACTCAGCAGTTCTTCTAGCTGTTTCAGAACTGCATGGGGAGAAAAAATGGTGGTGAGTTGCGGTGAAGACTACAGTGGACCTGTGCCCTGCCCATGGCTTCTCAATGACCAAGTGATTGATGCGGAGTGTTGTCCTTTATTAGAGTCTCCCGACCTGGCCTTTTTAAGATTTTTATTTTTAATTACAGTTGACATTCTATTATTTTATGTTATTCTCAGGTATACAGCATTGTGGCTTGATGATAATGTACTTTTAAAAGTGATACCCCCTTGCTGAAACCGGTTTGGCTCAGCGGTAGAGTGTCGTTCTGCGGACTGAGGGGTCCCAGGTTCAATTCCGGTCAAGGGCATGTACATTGGTTGCGGGCACATCCCCGGTAGGGGGTGTGCAAGAGGCAGCTGGTCGATGTTTCTTTCTCATTGGCGTTTCTAGCTCTCTATCTCTCTCCCTTCCTCTCCATAAAAAATCAATAAAATATATTAAAAAATAATAAAAAAGATCTGAGAGCTACTTAAAAAAAAAAAAGTGATACTCCTGATAATAGTCTAGTGCCATCTGACACCATACACTGTCATTACAGTATTGACAATATTCCCCTGTGCTGTGCTTCACATCCGTGGTTATTTGGTATCTATGCCTTTTAAAGTCATCTAACCCTCACTGTCATTTGCTCCCTCTTGTCTCTACTTCCTCTACTTCTTGACTTCCTGTTGTTTCCTTTTCTCACTATCTTTCGTCTCCACCTTTTGGAGCTGTCTCCTTTTCCTTTATTTATGCCTTCTTTTCCTCATTTCACCCTCCACCTCCCTCACAATGTTTTAACTTTAATTAGAAAGGGGTCTAGATTTGTCGGGATCTTAAACCACCTTAAGTTACCGCTAAAGTATCCCAGATGACACTATATTATTCTACTTTGCTTCCCACCTCCAAGAACCTAATATATTAAAAGACGCCAAAAAAAAACAAACAAAAAAAAACTACTATCCTTAATTGCCTCTAAGATAATAGTTTCCCAAGGAGGAAGGCACAGATCCCCAGAACATCTTAAGCACGCAGACAAAAGGACCCTGAAAAAGGCTTTGGAAACAAGAAATGTGTGTTGGGAGAGGCGGAGGAGGAAGGACTCTGAGTCAGCAGGAGGCAGAGGGGTCACTGGCTACCTTTGTGCAGGACCGCGTTGGCAGGCTTGTTTCCTGCCATCGACTCCTTGGAAAGGTGTTGATGACTCTCTGCCAAACACTCCACCTCGGCAAAGCGGGTATTGAGAGCCATAGAAGGGTGAGAAGGGTCCTCTGACATGTTCAGGTAAGCTGCCCGCCGAAGCTGTTCCTCAATGACCAGGGCTTGTTCTAGAAGCTGGACAAGGGATAGAGGAGATGGGATTTAGAATGATACTCACTTTGCTTGTTTCTTTTGTTCTGGTCAATTCTCACCCAAGATTATTTTTCCATCGATTTTGAGAGTAGAAAGGGGAGAGACAGAGAGAAGGAAACATCAATGTGAGAGAGACACATCAATTGGTTGTTTCCTGCACGTACCCTGACCAACGCCAGGAATCAAACCCACAGCCCTTCAGTCCATGGGCCAACGCTCTAACCACTCATCCAAACCGGCTAGGGCTACTGCTTATTTCTGATGGGTCTTCTCTCAGAATGCATAAAAAATTAGAATCACAAACAATCTTACCTCCTAGAGATACTGTTAGCATTCTGAGAT